AGAACACCTTCACAAAGGGTTCTTCCTCCTTATGAGTGGGGACTGGTTGGCGTCGGTGGGCTGGTAGTCGTTTCTGTTGTTGGTCAGGTCGATGGTTACCTCTTGATTGGTAGGCTGTGTTGTAGGTACGTCGGCGATGGGGTGGGATATAGCTGGATGGGTTGGTTGGTGGTCGGCGATTGGTAGGTGGTAGAGGTCGATGGAAGACAGGGCTGTTTCCGCTTCATGGTTCAAAAAAAGGAACAGGTTTTGGAAATTCAAAATTTTCAATTTTTGACCTTGACCTTTGTTGACCTTGACCTTTGTAGGATCAAACGTCATTGGCATTGGCTATCTATTTATACTTGCTGTCCTAAGTCAACTTCTGGTTTGATAGTCGTTAGCAATTTGAAATTTTAATGGCGTATATCTCTTGATCTTGACCTTTTTAGGCCTTCTCCTTTACAAGTTCAAAGGTCATTGACCTCGGCTATCTGCTGATACTTTCATTTGTGAGGTCTGACGTCCACTTCCGGTATTAAAATCTTCTAAAAAAAGGAAAATTTCTCAACTTTAGACTGTTCTTGCGCTTGATCTAATTATCGTGGAAGGTTGATTTTTTCGGGGTCTTTTGCATTTTGCTACATTTGCAAAGTCCCACTCTGTGCCACGTGTGGCTCTAGTTTCTTTTTGTTTTCAAAATAGTATAGTATTAGAAGTTGATTGGATTCCAAGATCTTTAAATGAGAAAGCCGATTTTTTATCTAAAATTATAGACAAAGATGACTAGGGCATTTCTAATTATAGTTTAGACATTCTAGAAGCTAGATGGGGAAAAGCCGATGTTGATTGGTTTGCATCTCAATACAATGCTAAATGTGATATATTTTATACCAGGTTTTGGAATGAAGGTTCGTCTGGAATAGACGCTTTTACTCATGATTGGAGTATTGGATTTGGTTTGTTTGTACCACCAGTCATTTTGATTACTAGAGTGATTAAACAAATGCAGCATTTTAAGACGAATGGTATCCTTATCATACCGGCATGGTTTTCGGCTAACTTTTGGCCTCTTATTGTACAATCGAATGGCAATTTTATAGACAGTATTGTGGATTGGATTGATTTGCCTATTGCAAAGCAATTTTATACCGTGTCTAGGACACGATTTGGTATGTTCGGAAATGAAGATCTGAAATTCAGAATGTTAGCTTTGAATTGTTCTTTTGTTTGAGCTTTTTGGGCGTGGCTGCCATTAGAATTGCTGAGGCTGACAAGTCTTTAGAATATGTGTAGTTGGTGTTATAGATACGCTATCGTGTATGTTAATATATGATAATTGTTGTGTTTACGTTTGTTTTTCCAGCATAATTCACATGATATTGAAGAGCTACCGGAAGTTTTGGCGGATAAAGTGATTCTTATTCCTGAGTTATTGAAATCATCTAGAGCTATGAATACTTTTAAATCTTATTCTTTGGGTTTCCAACGTTGGAAATGTTGGGCTGTAGCTAACAATTTGAGAGTAGAGGACACTTTTCCCGCTAAAGCTTTCCATTTTGCTTTATATTTAGTGTCTCTTATACAAACAGCTAATTCGCCCAGTCCTGTGTCTAACGCCTTTTATAGCGTGAAATGGATTCATGATTTGTTCAATTTAAATTCTCCTACTGATTTTTTGTTAGTTAAAAATATTTCAGAATCTGCAAAAAGACGTTTATCTAGACCTATTGTTAAGAAAAGGCCAGTAACTGTTCAAATGTTGACAGACATGTATAAGAGATTGTTTTCCTTTAATAATTTGAAAAATCAACGTATCATTGCTTTATGTTTATTATCATATGCAGGATTTTTACGCAGTGTTGAGCTTTTGAATATTAAGCGTTCTGATATTGTAATTAATGATACTTATTTAGCTATTTTTCTGGAAACCAGCAAAACTGATAAATATAGCGATGGTTCTTGGATATTGATATCTAAAACCGGTACAATGTTATGTCCGGTAGTTAATTTGCAATATTATTTTTCCTGGGCCAATATTACTGAAGACAGTGATTATTATATTTGTTGAAATTTGACGGCTGTTAAAAACGGTTATAAAGTAAGAAAGGATGCTAAGCATATGTCTTATACTACTTTAAGAGAATTATTTATTGATGCTTTTAAGCCGCATGTTGAAGATATTAGTCAATATTGTTTACACTCCTTGAGATCTGGTGGTGCTACAGCCGAAGCAAATAAAGGGTTAGCGGATCGATTATTCAAACGGCATGGTAGATGGGTTAGTGAATGTGCCAAAGATGGTTATATGAAAGATGCATTAAGTGAAATGCTTTCTGTTTCTTTAAATTTAGGTTTATAATGTACGATGTGTGTTCTAACGATTTCAGTAATGTGCGTTTCCTGATGCCCGTACTTTTAATTTCATCAGTGTTCGCTAACGCCAAAACAATAAACATGTAAATAGTTATTTGTTGTTTATGGGCATTATGGTACATAGTTAGTACGGGAGATATGCATAGTAAGGGAAATATAATTATTTGTCGTTTTAGTTTGATGAATTAGACGAAAATTAATTTACCATAGGAGAAGTATCGCCCAAATGTTTGGTTAGAGTAAGTGTGTCGCTGAAGTGTACTCAATTAGTTTTCGGGGGAGGGAGGGTTTGATTCTCCCAAATGTACAGGCCTAGGGTGGAGCAGACACTTTATTTAGAAATTAGGATTAAGGGTCTTGATATTGGGTTTTCTTCTGTTCTTATTCTGATCTGAAATTAGAAAAAATAACTCGCCCGATGGGCGAGAAGTATAGTATCTGTTATGTACTGATTGTTTTTAGTTTACTATGAACAATATTATCATTTAAGTTCTTATTTTTTGAATATGCAACTATCAGTTTCTACTTATAGACATGGGGGAATTTCTCTTGAAGGCTCTTATAGTGGGCATGAACTATCTTGCTTGCTCGATTGCTGGTTGTATTAAACGGGACAACAAAGGGTGCTATGCCTACATTATGATGAATATTTAGTCCTATAGGTCTTGCTGTATTCAATGTCTCAATCCAATGGGCCTCCCTAGATTGACGGAATTTGGTAGTTTCATCTTCGGGCAAGTCAATTTCTATACGCTCAATTGGGATTAGGGTGAGATCGTCTATTGAATGGTCGTCGAGGTTGAAATGATTAGAAACAGGCTTGTCTTTCTTTAATTTGATGTCTGACCTATGAGCATTAAGGCGAGTTCGTAAATTATTCTTAGTTTCTCCTACATATTGTTTGGGGCATTTCTTGCATGAAATTAAATATATTACATTCGAATGTTCACATGTTAGATGTTCCTGGATCGGGTACCTTTTATTCGTAGAGTTGCTTACAAAATAATGAGTTTCTGATATAAAGGGACATGTTTTGCATCTACTGGACAAACATGGAGAACTTCTTAAACCTGGAGGTACTTCGGCATAAAGTCTGTTTTTAGCTGCTATCTGTGTGGAATTTTTTATGTTTAGAGTACCCACGCTCTTTCAGTTTTGAGAAAACAATCGTACAGGCTTGGTTGAAATCAGACGATCTTGTACAAATTCGATGAAATCGTAAAACTTGTGACTTAATTATACCAGAAAAGATATGTTTTGGGTGAAAGGAGCTCTTGTGCAAGAGTTGATGAGTATCAGTTTCTTTGAAATACACTTTAATATCCAGTTTATTTGTTTCTGCTATGGAATCTCCCTTAAAGACTGTGGTATCGAGAAAGTCTATGCTTTTGTCACTCACGTTTGCGGTTAGTTTGATAGAAGGATGGTGGTTGTTGAGAATTTCAAAGAATTCCCAAAACTGTTCGATAGAATAAGTCCAAGCCATAAAAATTTCATCCAAAAAGCGTCCGTAAAAAAGTGGGTCAAATGGACAGAGGGGCAACACCTCACGTTCCCACTCTGCCATGAAAAGGTTTGCGTACGAAGGGGCGAATCGTTTGCCCATTGTTGTCCCTGAAGTTTGTAAATATGTTTTACCATTAAATGTGAAATCGTTTCGACTAAGACAAATCTCTAAAAGTTGTAGAATTGCATCGTCGGGTCTGTTTGGATCTGGGTTTCTATTAAAAGCTTTACGAACTGCCGTTAAACCAGTAGTGTTATCGATATTGGTATACATAGAAGAAACGTCGATAGAAATTAAAATAGCATTAGAGGGAACTCGAAGATTTTTTATTTTATTGACAAAATCGGTTGTGTCTTTAAGGTAGGCGCGATGTTGGCATGCTAGAGGTAGTAAGAAATGATCAATGTATTCTGACACTGCATATGACTCACTACCACAGTCAGATATAATCGGGCGGCCTTTAGGGATTTTATTCGAGATAAACCACTCCTTGGTTGGATTCTTATGGATTTTAGGCAAAGTGTACAAATGTCTCTCGCGACAATCAGGTTTGGCAGACAGATAGTCATATTGTTTCTGTTTGAGATAACTAGTTTTGACTAAATCGGCAAGAATATTATTAATCATGTTAGCAGTTTCTTTGAAAATTGGTTTCGGTAAAATGGCATAATGTTTAGGATTATTCAGTTGATTCTCTGCTTCTGAAACGTAATCCTCCCTATTCAGAATGATACAACATGAACCTTTGTCACTCTTTTTAATAACAATGCTATCGTCTTTCTTAAGTAAGTTTAACACTTCACGTTCCACTCGTGTGAGATTAGGCTTTTCTTGTGTTATGGAAAGGTTCACTGTTTGGCTATTCATACTCGCAAATGCTTTCAATATTTCAGGGTGGATGGCGGCCTGAGGGTGTGTCCACGTGGATTTAGGAATAAACATTGTTCTAGCACCACGTTGGGGGTGGTTTCGAAAAAAATATGTGCAGCTAAGATTTCGTTGAAATCGTTCAATGGATGGTCGGAGATAATTCAAGTTAGCTATCTTTGGTGTGGGAATAAACTTAAGTCCACGGTCTAAGATTGAATGCTGAAGGGGTGTGAGAATTTTGCGGCTCAAGTTAACTACAGTTTGGCCTAGCGGTGGCCTCTCAGTATTTTTATCCCGAGTAATTAGTTTAAAGACTTACTCGATGCTTGAAACTGGTGTATCAAAAACAAATAGATGCTGTTTTCTGTTTCTGGAGACCAATGAAGATTATCAACTGTTTCGAATTCTTCTTGGTAGGGTGGTAAGATTGTTGTGCTGTTGATACTGGACTCCATCATCATGTTGTTGAGAATGCTGAGGTTCTGTTGTGCTTTCTTCGAGATTTTATTTGAAATGGGTATACATGTGAAGAGGATCTTGGAGTTTGGGAAGGTTTTGTTGGCTGTGGCGATTAATTTCTGGGCTTGGTTAAAGGAGGTCTTTGGTATCTGATCACGGTTGTTGAGGCCTACATGAAGAATAATGGTAGTAGGTTTGGGATCATGGTCGTATGATTCCAGGATTGACTGTATGTGATGGATTTGGACACCGGGGTAAGAATGTATTTCGGTGTCTGAACTGGTTTTGGTAATTCGATTCAGGTTAGATGATCCAATTATTAGGGTAGATTTCTTTAGAGCAGGTAGTTTCCATAATGATTTGTCCTTGGTTTGGTGATAATACGGTTTGGTAGCGGATATAATGGTCGTCGACGGTGTGATTGGTACTGGTTTTGTAGTTGTTAGAATTGTAGCATTGGGAACGGACTGGGATCTGGTTCGAGGAGGGGAAGGTCTGGATACACGTCTCGACTTGGATGGAGACTGAGGGGTGGTTTGCTGGTCCAAAAACGCACAAGGAAGAAAGGTTGGCGGATCCTGGATCACGTGGTGAAGATTCAGATGGTGTGGAAGGGGAAGACGAGTCTGAAAGTGAAAAGAGAAGGGGTGTGCCCTCTCTACGAGAGCGTTTACCTATGTCTGCTGGAATAGGAGTAGGTGAACTTCGGGCTCGTTTAGGGGTTTGGTTCGGCAGCGTGGTGGCTCTAGATGGTGCAGGTGTAGTGTCCATTTCAGTTGGTAGAGATATGGTTACTCTGGTTTTTGTTTCGTTGATTGTTTGGTAGAATTTGGAGATTACAGCTTGAGTGAGACGTTTCCCATAGGAGCGACGGGCCCAGGACAGGTGACAATCGTTTGTTCAACGTTTTGTTTTATAGGTGTATTAATTTGTATTAAGAATGTGTCAAGTTATTTTGTAATGTTTCATGTATATATTTAGTTAATATTCAGGAATAATCATGTTGGGTATTCCTATAGATAGGCGTTCGCTCAACGCTAACTTTGTAGGGTCTTTTTGCATTACGCATGAGCACAGGTTTCTGATTAAAAAGATCAGTTTTTCCTGGGTGGCATTTAGATCCAGTGATCAAAGGTTTATTTGTAATATGAGTGATGATATATGTTTATATCTTGATATATGTTTAGTAAGACGAATTTATATTCTTCAGTAATGAATTTGTAATTTGACTGGTTTTGTACGGTTGTTCGATAACGCTAAAACAATAAACATGTAAATAATTATTTGTTGTTTATGGGCATCATGGTACAAAGTTAGTATGGGAGATATGCATAGTAAGGGAATATACTATACAGATACTGACAGTTTATACATGTCATCTAGCAATTTGGATAAATGAAATGAAGCTGGGATGGTATCTGAAAATGATTACTGTAAAGGAAAGAATGATTACGGTGATGGTGGAATTATATATGGTTTATATTTAGCGCCAAAAGTCAAATATAATATCATTCTAACTCCCGATGGTATTCTAAAAGAAAACGTAGAAGATTATATTCAATTACCTAGCGGACATGATGTGACGAATGAATTTAAGAAAAGATGGGAAAAGAGTTTCACCTATGGAATAGTTATTCCAAAGGATGATGATAAACAAAAGAAAGTTTTTAGAAGTTATCTAAATCTCGTTAAGAGAAAAGCACCGGATGATAAAGGAATTATGTATCCTTACAACGACGGAAAAGAATTGAACATGGATGACAACTATGAATTTGATGATTTCGATTACCTAACTATTCAAGAAGAGAATGAAGAGTTCGTTCTTTTGTTTTAAATGAAGTTGAATAACAATTTCCTCGTTTCCAAAATCAATAAACCTATTTTTACCATCTTTGATTTCCAGATTTATATCTTTAATCATAAAGGAATTAAGTGGTAAATATATTGTTTGAAATGGTTTCTCTATAATATATCCAATCGGTACAGTGAATGTTGGAATGCTGGATTATAGATAATCTGACGTGTGTATTTGTTGAAAAATCCACCGTTTATTGGAGTGAATATTAATGACATCAATATCATTCTCGATATTAGCTTTGTGTGGTGCTAATGTTGATTCCTTGTATATTTTTTTTTATCAAAGCCTAGTGAAGTATTTAATGAATTTTCTACATTGAAATCAACTTGACTCTTATTTCTCAATATCAATTTTATTTTGTTCAGATTCAAATTACCTTCGAATTCAATATTGTTTTTACCATTTACACTTCCTCCATATTCAGATTGGTAATCGTCAATGGCTCTTTTTTCTTGTTAAATGAGTAACGAATCGGATCGTATAATTTTAAGATTGGATCTAGTATGTAATTTTTATTTGCCCTTTTTAAAGTTTAAAATTTGAGTAGAAATTGTGGTTTGTTTTTTCAAACAAGGGTTATCTCTCTTATAGAAGTTTCTAGAAAAAGAGACTCATAAAGACTCTTATTAATAACTCTGTTAAAACCGGATGTTAAGCAATCAAGGAAGTTATTTTGTATGTAAGGGGATTTTTATTTTGCTCTGTTATTTTTCGTTAATTATTCTATCTAATGAAGGGATTATAGGATTCTAATTAAGTTTTTTTGATAGTTCAAGATGTTGGACAGATTATTTGCCTTTTTTGCGATGATTTATGAGTGTTATGACCTATATAGTCAACAATACCGTTTTTACTTCCTTATGTGATTGATTCATATACTACCACTACAGATTCATTTATCATAATATGAAATTGAAGGTGTTGACAAAAACAACAGAATACCTTTCTGTTTATTCTTCAGAATTACTCTGTAGAATTGGCCAATAAAAAGGAAATGAAAGTTCAATGCTCAATTTTATATGACTCATCATATAATCTCATCATATAATCTCATCTAATCAACTTCTTGTAGTGGTATTCCCCTTGTTAATTTCTCCGAGACTTTCGAATACTTTTCGCTCTGAGAATTGACCTAAAAGGGGAGAGGGTATATGAAAGGTACTGACAAAAAAACAACAGATATCCTTCTGTTTATTCTACAGAATTTTCGATTACTTTTCGATCTCTGTAGAATTGGCCAAGAAAAAGGAAATGAAAGTTCAATATTAGAAGCAGACAACAGCTATGATAATTGATATACAGCGTCATCAAGTAACGCGACAGTTAACCAATGACGGGTAAGATTCTCCAGAAGGGAGAACAACCTAAGACAGGTGCTGTCGGGCTTGATAGGGGTGGTGTTTAGATGCTGCAATTTAGCTGTTGCTAAAACAGATTCACATGTGTTATGCTTGTTCGTGTTTTAAAATTAAACTCATCCTATTTTTAAATGAGTTAATTTAATGATGAAATGCAGGGTGAATAAGTCTTTTTGGGGATGGAAATTGATGGAATGTATGGTATGCAATTTTCCCATGGAATGAAATGGAATGGGGGAAAGTGCGTCCAATCTAATACCCCATATACTACTGTACATTTGGGAGAATCAAACCCTCCCTTCCCCGGAACCTAAAATATGGAGAAAGAAAATATATGACGAGGGGCCTTATTCTCGAAAACTTAACTTAAAATCACTAAAATTGATTTGATAGAATCAGATTTTAACTTAAATAATGTGTTATTCTCCAAAATCGGTTTTAATATAAAATTCGATTTTAGTCGATTTTAATTAAAATTGATTTTTGTAATTGTCGTAAGCGGCGCTAGCATATTGCGCATTGCTCACTGGTTATCTTGAAGAAAATGTCAGCCATGTTGGAAATGTTTTCCAAAGATTCTGATGTTTATTTGCAAATCATGGGCATCTTTTTAATTTGTGGACTTATGTAATATATGGATCGTGAACACTAATAAAAAAAGGTCATTGGGTACCTCCACTGAGATAGTTGTCGATTTCTCTATTTTGTGAATTTCACTGACATAGTTTGAGAATTTTTACCGTAAATAAGGATTTTTCTCACGCCTCGGCCAGTGCCAGTTGTATGTGGATTGTCATGTTATGGTTGCTATCTTGCGACAGTAGGATGGATGTTATTCAGATATTTTTAGGTAAGTGAATTAAAATTGTTTCATTGAATTGCTGATATTGGATTGTCAGTTTAAGCCAGGCGCACGCGTCGCAATCGGGATCTGCTCGGACAGAATACATTCGTGCACATTTCTTAAAAGAGTTAAGGTCGAATATTTTAGGATAAACATTATATAATTTCAGCTAATACCAAAATGTTCTTCTTTCAGGTTGTGTTGCAAAAAAGGCATTAAAGTGCCTTGTGACGTTATTACCTACAATCAATGGGGCGTCACAGAGTGGCTTGCAATGCTGCTATGAAGTATCTTGTAGATAAGTTTCGGAAAGTGTAAATTTGTTAAAGGGGCACGTTCGCCATCCGTTCAACCAATCGTACGTTAGTCTCAGAAACAGAAATTCTTGTAATTCTTCTAATCAACAATCGGCTAGTGTTCACAGTTCACTGTAGAAATTTGAGTCTTCAAACCCATGTGCATAATTATCCGCATTTGAAAGTTACAAATTTGAACGTATTGCAGTGAGACTATGCCACATAGATATAGAAAATATGTAAAAATAGAAGAATTTTTTATTTAAAGGGCTTGTAAAGAGTATTTTAAATTTTTTTGCTTATCGGGGACACTAATAGTTTCAATAGTCTTCAAACCCATGTGCATAATTATCCGCATTTGAAAGTTACAAATTTGAACGTATTGCAGTGAGACTATGCCACATAGATATAGAAAATGTATAAAAATAGAAGAATTTTTTATTTAAAGGGCTTGTAAAGAGTATTCTGAATTTTTTTGCTTATCGGGGACACTAATAGTGTCAATTTGATAATCGGCAATCAGACGTCTGCTGTGGTTCCTACAATCCCTCTTTTATTTCCTTCATAGCTCATTCAAATTATCTTTTGTATTTTTCAGGAACATAAACAACACACGCCATTTCTTTTTGACCAATCATACTTATACTTTAATCTCAGAAACTGGAATTTTATAGCTAAGCCAATCAGTATTAGTGTTTCGAGTTCAACGTCGAAATTTGAGCCTTCAAATCTATGTGTGTTCAGAATTATCCGCGTTTGAATGTAAAAACGCCGACTCGTCATTTTTAGATGCTCTTTGATAGGCTATATAGAAAAAGACATACATAGAAATAGTGAGTAAAATTCCTAGTTTGAGATATTTTTGAACGAATTAAGCGATTTCCGTACATTTCTAGTACAGATTTTCAAGACTCAAATCAACCCCGTAGTATCTAGCATTTATTATTTATAAACGGTGTAGATTTTAAAAAGTTATTATGTTTATTGCTTTATTAAAGTATGGTGGAATCAATTGAGTTTTGTATTATTTTCAATTTGTGACTGATTTATATGCATAAGAAAGTGTATGTCATGGGAAAGGAATTATGCCATTTTGAACTGGAGAGACAACACAAGGATTTGTGTGCAACAAGTATATTAACACATCCTTGTGTTGTAAATAAACACATGTTTAGCATTTCAAACAACACACAAGAGAGGGTATAAAACACACATTTTTTTTCAATTCTAACACAAGTTTGAGTGTTTTTTCCACAGACGTTTATAACACAAGTCTTGTGTTGATGAACACAAGACTTGTGATGAAGACCGTGCAACACAAGTTTGTGTTGTGTAATAAAGACACAACACTTGTTTTGTTTCAACACAAGCTTTTTTTCAGTGTGTGTAGCAAGTCAAGCTTGTTAGCTTTGATTTTGAACATAAATATTTAGCAGTACAGTAACAATCACCAGTACGAAATATTCAACCTTCAGTCATACACTTCTTTTGAACTCTTTTGAAGGGTGATACTGAATAATATTGAGTATGAGTTATTGCCCTAGTTCTTGAAAACGTGTTCAATCTTTAGCTTGTGAAAACTCTAGAAGACAAATATTCAATCTTCAGCGCGGTAATGAATAATAAAACCACGTTTTGTCAAAATTCGGCAAGAATCATGCCTTCTAGAGTTTTTATGAGCTACAAATTGAACGAGTTTTCAAGATCAAGGGCAGTAACTCATACTAAATATTTTTCAATTTTTCTGATTTTTAAAAGGCTTTATCCTTGGGTGATAACAAACACTCAAGCCAAATTTCGTTAAAATCCGTCAATAATTGTGCCTTCTAGAGAGTTTACAAGCTAAAAATTGAACGCGTTTTCAAGAATAAGGGCAATAACTCATACTCAATATTTTTAGATTCTTCTGATTTTCAATAGGGTTCATCCTTGGGTGATAACCAACACTCATGCCAAGTTTCGTCAAAATCCGTCAAGAAATGTGCCTTCTAGAGTGTTTACGAACTAAAAATTGGACGCGTTTTCAAGAACAAGGGCAATAACTAATAATAATAATAATAATAATAATATTTTCCAATTTTTATGATTTTCGATAAGGTTTATCCGTGGGTGATTACAAACACTCACACCAAGTTTCGTCAAAGTCCATCAAGAATTGTGCCTTCTAGAGTGTTTACAAGCTAAAATTGAACGCGTTTTCAAGACAAGGAGAATAACTCATACTAAATATTTTTCAATTTTTCTGATTTTCGATAGGGTTTATCCTTGGGCGATTACGAAGACTCATACCAAGTTTCATCAAAATCCGTCATCCGGCAATATACGCCCCCAATTTCATGTGGGCGTATAAAAAAATCGTTTAAACCATATAACATTCAGTAGTGAAAAGACGCAGATACCATTCGGTACTAAAAGGTATTAACATTCGGTAGTAAAATTTTTATGCAAAATTTCGAGGGTGACAAATGCAAACAATGCAATTGGAAATATTTAAGCTAAAGTTCAAATGAACCCGGATGTGCCACACCCACTTCAAAAATTTTGTTATGTCTGTTATGATGTGTTAAAAAATGTTTACAATCCTTAGATCACGGAATATACATGCTTATACATTTTTTAAGGCAACTGTGACTGTTTGGATTATAGACATTGTGAAATTACGCACAGAAGTCAGTGCAAAATCAAAATAGAGTTACATATATTATTTGAAAGAATAGATTACGTGTAATAAGGAAATCTTCACGTGTGTAAATTAGGTCACGTGACAGAGTTAAAAATCGTGATTTTCAAATGGCTGTAAAACCGGAAGTTCACGATGAACAACAAAAGTGGAGATAACATCGGATATATCTCGTCAGGCGCAACAAGTTGTTTTCAAATCACAAGGTCACCAAAGGTCAAAGTCACTAGATATGAGCCTTAACGGTTTGATAATAACTGAAAACATTAAAGCGGAAAAAAAAATGCAAAGCCAAAATTCAAAAATGTTTCCCATGTATGTTAGCAATCGATTGCAGACACCAAAATCATACAAATCAGATTTACCTTTGAAGCGCAATATGAATTGTACAAAAAGATAGCTTGCCAGGTAAGCTTTGATTTTAAATAAAAATATTTGGCAGTACAGTAACAATTACCAGTATGATATATTCAACCTTAAGTCATAACTTCTTTTGAACTTTTTGAGGCGATTCTGAATAATATTACCAAGTTTCATCAAACATTGTCAAGAATTGGGCCTTCTAGAGTGTTTACAGACTAAAACTTGAACGCGTTTTTAAGGACAAGGGCAATAACACAAACTAAATATTTTTCGATTTTTCTTATTTTCGATAGGCTGCATTATGGGTGGTTACAAACACTCACAGCAAGCTTCGTCAAAATCCGTCGAGAAATGTGCCTTCTAGAGTGTTTACGTGCTTAAACTTGAACGCATTTTCAAGAACAAGGGCAATACTTCATACTAAATATATTTGATTTTTCTGATTTTCGATAGGGTTCATCCTTGGGTGATTACAAAACACCAATTTTCGTCAAACTCCTCCAAGAATAGTGCCTTCTATAGTGTTTTCGAGCTAAAAATCGAACGCGTTTTGAAGAACAAGGACAATAACTCATATTAAAGATTTTTCGATTTTAACGATTTTCGATAGGGGTTCATCCTTGGGTGATAATAAACAATTTCAGTAAGTTTTGTCAAAATCCGTAAAGAATTGTGACTTGTAGAGTGTTTACGAGCAATTGTGGACGGACGGACCGACGGACATGCGTGACGGCAATATACGCTCCACATTTCATAGAAAATTCTGAATCTATTTTTGATCAAAATTTTTGTTTTGTTCATTACTTTTTAGTAATGGCTAAAAGCATAGCACTTTAAAAAATTTCAGATTTGACTTTTGTCGCTTACTTTTTTTCTTTTCATAATAACGTTTTTTTTCAACATCTACAATTTTATTTCGATCGATCAGAAAATTTACGAGTTGATGGACATTTTGATTGATTTTGATTTTGATTATCACTTCCGGTTTTGACGTCATTCGCTCTTAAAGTTGAAATTTCAACTTCCGGAATATTATAGATATTTGAAAAATTCTTTTTGCATCATGCTAGAATTGTTTATATAAAAGATTTCAAATGATAAAATTCGTTCCGGAAATATTAGATCAGTCGCCATCTTGAAATGACAAAATTCTCTATAAAGGTACTTTTTGGGATCAGGATTTATTCGGATTTGCATTATTTTAATGTCTATATTATCAGTGAACTAATCATAACAATCGTGTTGGAGCCGATTCTTGCATTTCGATTTTACTTTTTAGTTATTTCAGGTTGATTTTTTTCAATATTGTCCAAAATTTTAAAGCTCATATCTCGCGACCTTATCCTTTGGTGAGCTTGTGGCCAGCACAAAAGTTGTTGATCTATCCAAAGATGATTTCATTTTTGTTGTGCAACGTAAACTTCCGGTCTTACAGCCATTTGAAAATCGCGATTTTTAAGTTTGAAAAGCTCTGTCACGTGACCTAATTAACATACGACAAATTTTCTTATATATTCTTAAAGTACATGAGCTCTCCTCTCTGGTGATATATCACAGGAGAGGGTACTATAAGCGAAAGCCTGTTCTCTAATCCTATTATGTAAATAAATATTGTTTATACAAATAAAAATAATCACACTTGATATTTTGAATAAAAGTGCGCTTTTTAAAAATCGAAAATTTTGAACTGACTTCTATAGTAACTGTGCGAAAATTCACGGTGTCTATAATCCACCGACAGTCACTGTTGCCTAAAACATCTTTTAACTACGAATATCTCATGACCTAATGATTGTAAATACTTGAAAGTTAGAACATTTTTCAACATTGTACACATTTAGTGGGCATGGCAAATCTGGGTTACTTTTACCTTTAACTTTAATATTTGAAATTATTATAACTCGCAAATTTTGCATTTGTCACCAACGACATTTTGTATAGAAATAAACCACTACTTATGACAATCAATGATAAAGTTGCATTTGTTTAGGCCTTTCACTTTAAAACATAGGCTTGCGGCAAGTCTCGCAAGCGAATACGCCCACCAGCGGATTGATCTAAATGTGAACTGTAAAACAAACTCTATATCTATTTTTTCTAATTTCAGATCAGAATAAGAACAGAAGAAAACCCAATATCAAGACCCTTAATCCTAATTTCTAAATAAAGTGTCCGCTCCACCCTAGGCCTGTACCTTTGTGAGAATCAAACCCTCCCTTCCCCGAAATCTATATCGTAGCCTGTAGGATGAGCACAAGCCAAAAAAGTGAAAAAAACACGATATCAGAGTTTTATGCGATATCTCTAATAAAGAAAATCATCGGATCTTCACCAAATTCAATAGTGCACATCTTCATAATGATATTGACACACATACAAAAGATCAAAAGAATCAATAGAGAATTGTAGTCTGTAGAGTGAGCACGAGCCAAAAACGTGAAGAAAAAAAAACGAACGCGATATCAGAGTTTTATGCGATATCTCTTAAGAAAATCATTGGATCATCGCCGAATTCAATAGTGCACATCTTCTTAATGATATTGACACACATACAAAAGATCAGTAGAATCTATAGAGAATTGTAGCCTGTAGAGTGAGCACGAGGTAAATGTGAACGGACGGACGGACCGACAGGGGCAACCACAATATACGGCCATACTTACGTGTGGGCGTATAAAAAGGGAATATGTTTTACAATTTATAAAATTTTGATATTGTGATCATTCACATGCGTGACCTCGATCTTTTGCAATGTCAAATGTCATTGATCTATGACGCCTATTCATACTTTGATCTTTGATGTCCGACATATATTTCCGCTTTTACAGGCGTGCCAAAACAGCAATTTTCAACTCTTTTATTTGGCCTTTGTTGACCTCTTGACCGTAACACAAGTTATTGTGCTTGACGAGACCTTTCCAATAATATTTCATTTTTGTTGTGCGATTTGTACTTGTAACTTTACAGCTATTTGAAAATTCGACTTTCTACTACCGAATGCTATCAAATTCATGCTTCTCTTCACTACCGAACGTTAAACGGTTTAAACGATGTTTTTAATATTGAATGTATTATACATATTAATATACATGTTTTTTTTCGTTAAAAAATCCCCTTGTGGCTTTAAAATGGAACGTTTCAACGATGTATCAGGTACCGTGGCACGGCTCTAGTTTTGTCAAAATTTGTCATGTGCCGAATTTTCCATGGGCCGAAAGGCCTATAGGTTAATCCGCCTCTGCTGTCAAATGATTGTTTGACAGAATAGCATTGTTCATCTGAAGATTTTCCCTGTAATCGTCATTTACACAGTATACAGAATTAAAAAAAATATTCGATTCAACCATAAGCTGATTCATTGATCATCAAAAAATAACTGTTCTTAGAGCATCTTCATCCTTAATTTCAAATGTAGCCACAGCACCATCATTGAAACGGTAAGACAATTCTCCATCTATTACTAAAGATGAATCCCACATCCTTGACCTTATCCAAATCCTGAAATTTTAAATAATAATCTGTAAGCATTTATATTGGATAATCTGGTCACGAAAAAAACATGTGCCAGGAGATTATTTTGGCACAACTAAGGGCTGCAGAAAAAATCATTCTCTGGTATTTTAAGGACGTTACTTTGGCCCTCATTTAAAAATGGTCTAGGCGAAATTTCACCATAAACAAATAATTACTGACGATTTGATTGAAGAACATTACACTGGTGACCAAATACCTTCGTGGTTTTCTGCAGTTCAGCAAGCCGTTTTATTATGGCTTGACACAGTTTCCACTTGTCATTCCTACAGTTTGACACATTGGCAGGGATCAATTGAAGCGATCGCAGTTTGCGAGTCAAAATTGCAATCCAATATTTCTTATGATTTACCAAATATAAATTTAACACAACAATTTGCGAATCAAATCAAATTGTATATTTTTCGGGAAAAATTACCCGAAGGTCTCGATAGCCGAAAGGCTCTAGAGTCATTGGCAAGATCAATTTCTCAAGTTGTTGGTTTTTTCCAACTAATGATAATCTTAGATTCGTTGATGATATGTTTCCCAAACCAAAGATTTTCGAAAGCTAGTAGAGAAGATATAGGCCAAAAAGTGTCTTTCAAAGCTAGTGCCAGGTAAAAGGCTGGATGGTTGGCTGGTAGATGTCAAGTTAATGTTCGTTTCCAGTGGATTCTGATATCGCAAACTGAGGTGAATGGCTTAAGGTAATAATAGAATGAAACAGCCAATCAAATTTCTATACTTAACATGCATGCGTGATGTTGTTTGAATAAATTAACTACAGACTTTAAAATGCTTGTTTTTGTCCATCATTATATTATAGCTTAACATGCTAACTGGCCAGTGAAAATGTACCATTAGAATAACAATGATTAATCTAGTCATTGGGATGCCCAAAACAGTCTTTCGAAAGCAATTATTGAGTCGCGGTGACTCATTGAGGCACTTAATCATCGGGAGTCAATCTCGATCTCATAGGAGTAAAGCGCAGTGGATCGAAGAAGGTGAAAAATTATGGACGGCGGAATGACTGTTTATTCAATGTCCTTCATTGCTATTTCTTAATTCTAAATTCTTATCTCTTAATTTGCACGATTACTTAAACATTTTTTTATTGAAAATTGACATTTGACATTGTACATAATTTGTACAGAAAATGAACATTCTTCGATAAACAATCGGTTTTCCAATAGTTGAATTAATAGAATTCTTGCCAAAAATATCCTCAAATACAAATCTACAAATAAAAAATCAAAACATCAAATACATCTAAACAAATCTTGCGAAACATTTCTCAAAATACATGTGGAATATATTTGAAGGTCATGATTATGACGACAGATGTCCTTTCTTTTCATAGCATTAACAAGGCAAGTGACATTTATAGCCATCAAATAGTCTTTTAAAAATAGTGTAAATGTCTTGAAATGTAGGCCGCTATAGACTACTGTCTTTGTAAGTACATTGGTATATCGCATTTTACCGATGATTTTTATATCATCCTAAAAATATATATCTACTGTAGGCCTGGTCGCTAGTGTTAGTGTTAAAATGTCAATCGACACACATTCAGCAAAATTAACTTTCTTTTCAGAAAAATGTTCTATGGGGTCCCTTGATGACGTGCGTATTATTTACAACTAGCGCCCCTAGCGGTGAGATTTAACAAAAAATGTGGTTAGTGTTATGGCCATTTTAGCATTTATTGAATGTTTGAAACTTATTTCGTTTTTGCATTAGTACATAAGTTAATTCCTGAAATTTAGTATATCATATTATCTTTTCCATTCTTATTGTGACAATTGACGCATAAAAAGAACCATTTATAATGAACCAACATGGCAGAATGTAGAATTCTCAAATAAAATTTTTTTATCAGTTTTCACTTAGTTCTCAGGATTTATCAGATTGTTGTATCAATATTGTAAAAGGGCCAGGAATGTCAAATAATACGGTATTTACATATTTATGTCATATTTGTCATTTGGTGTGTATGATTTGCAGACCGGGTATTCCCCTAAAATCCGTGAGGTATTTTCATTTGTCAGACCACAATTAACTTTTTGCATAATAAGAGTTACGTCCCCATTATACTCTTTATTTACTTAGCGTTGACATAAGTAAACCGCTATTTTATGAGTGTAATAAGTAGTTTATTATTGTTTGTCAGTTATTTATCAGATATATTTTTAGATTAGGATTCATTTGGGAACCATATTAGCCTAAGTACCCCTTGACATTTTATATACATGAGCCTATATTCCCATGGTTTCCATTTGTTATCCAACATTTGTGAAATTTGTAATAAGTCTTTTGATTGATTTATATATTATTTTGACAGCCATATTTATATTGTATATTTCAGTTAATCGCTCTACGCTCTACTTCTATAGTTTTCAGATGTAAATTCATTCAACCTTTCAATCATCTTATGTTTTATGCTTTTAATTATATAGACATTATCGTACTACTCCTCCTGACCCGCTCGCAGCCACAATAGTCAGTGCACTTGAATTATTGTCTATTAGAAGTATTTTTCGATCATTTTGTTTTTCATGTTATCTATGTGGACAATTGCAAAATAAGTGAGGTTTACCGTTACGTGGTCCATGTTATTTGTGATGGATATCTAATTTTGCAACACTCTCTTTAGGTGTAAAATACATTGCTTGAGAAGATTTGATGATGATGACAAAGAACATCTAATCCTGAGAAACTTCAACGCTATGGCTGACCAAAACGCCCAAGGTAACTACTTATCTGCCAGAATCACATTTTCTTCCATACAGTGCAGACGGTTACTGAATGAGAATAATAAAAATCCCCGTACATTTTAATATCATTATTAAGTTATGCTAAGTGGCGAAGAAACTCTTGTCTGTAGTGAATACTTCGCTAGCTTGTGATAGAACAAAAGAGCTCATAGACAACCATATCCGATCATTTCTGTACCGAATATACCTATTATTATCAGTATTTTAACGAAAACTTCAACAATGGATTTGGCAGACCGAAAACTGATGTGTGTAATACCTGCAATGAACTAGAAAATAAAGTTTGTCACGAAATAAACCAAGCCAAATTAGGTACAGCTATGAACTGAAAAAGGTAAAATGTATACTTGGCCAGAATCAACAGCAAGAAGAGGAGAGAATGAAGTTATCTCGTGCTGAATGTCCAAAACCGTAATCTGTATATATTCACTGATGGATGTAGAGGTCAAAATAACAAACATACAATGGTTCAGTACTTTCTGAGTCTTGTAAATCAGATTGAAAAACTTCAACGTAAACAAGAGACTGTAGAAATGTATACGGATTGGGAAGATGTGATCTCTTTGGAAAGGCAGTAATATGAAAGATTACCGAGGATATTTATAACAGTTCTACAAAAATCATGTGTTTCAGATGGTGCTAAATATCGAGTATCTAAAGGGAATGTTTTTGAGTTCTCTTCTGAACATGCATACACCGTACACATATATGAAAATATATCTGGTGTTATTGGTAACCAATTCAACTTGTTAAAAACTGGTGTGAAGCGTATCAATCACCTTAATAAATGCCTCTTTGAATGACATACATGTTAAGGATGTCAATAAAGCTCTGCAAACCAGGAATATATAAATAATCTGAAATCAACTGATTCGCGAGATGGTGATAAGATGGACTACGAGAATCTACTAGACATACGTGATTTTTGTATATTGTTCAGTGAAACCAAGGTATATTGGTAGTCAATCATTGCGTATTGCGTATTGTGTTATCAATCATTCGTTGATTCATTTGTTGAATTTGCTGTTTTAATATTTCAATCTCGTACTAAAGTAAATATTTTTAAGATCTGTCCAATCTGTTGTTACTTGTTATTTTAGTCAGGACCTGATGAAATTGTCCCGGCTGTCTGTCCGGCTCAAACTTAGAAAACTTATCATTGGCATTAAGACTGACAATATCTCAGTTTTTTTACTCTATTATATTTTTCTGGACGTACCAGTCGATCCTTTCGCTCTGTTTTTTCACCCCTAGATGGTCGCCATCGCCGTCATCTTGAAAAACCTGAAAGTCGATTGCTTTCTAGATTATTTTTCCGATCCTTCTGAGACTCAAGAAGCATGCCAGTCGCTCGGTGATAGATTTTTCATCATTTTGCCATCTTGAAAAAATCTAACTGTATCTCCCAGGCGCTTCAGCTGATCCATTGGATATTGGCAAAGATGGCCAACCATCACCATCTTGAAAAATCATCAAACTCAATCGCCTTCCAGACGCTTCAAAAGATCGTTCTGAAGACTTATTAGGGTTTTTTCCTATTTCAGTTCCATTTTTTTTAGTCTTCCAGGCATGTGAGGAACAGCAACCACCGTTCAAACCATAAAAATGATACTTTTTGGCAACGTAATCCAAACCACAGTACAATGAGGGCATTTTGACAGAATTCGTAAAACTATACTGACGTCCCCACTACGTTATTTTGGATGTCACTCTTGATGTCTTAAAACCGAACGCATCATCAAAATGGATGCTAGGGTATTGGTACGTAATGTTATTATCAGGATATCATTTCGATAGTCAGGATATTATTATTTTAAAAATGCTTCTCCTGTAAAATCCAGACTTGGGCCTCAATTACATATTGAATTTTCATGCGGAGAATTTAAATATTACCAAAACTTTCTTTTGGGCCGATTCGATGACAGTTCTTCGGTGCATTCAGAACGAGACGACGCGTTTCATATCTTAGTATCCAACTGACTTACAGTAATACATGCTGATTTATCTGTAGATAAGTGGTGGTATATAAATATTGAAATCAACCTGGGCAGATGACGATCAAAAGATTTAAAACTCAAGATGGTGTTGAACCTACGATGGATTAATGGTCCAGAATTTTTATATGAAGATGAAGAAGTTTGGCCAGAGAATTTAATTGGTAATTCTAGAAAGATATTCCTCATGGTGGAAATTAAGAAGAACTGTTGCTTGGATTCTTAGATTTAAGGTGTTTGATTGTCACAGAATGACGAAAAGCCGGCGGAAGTTGCTAAAGTCAATTTTGTTCAGCTGAAATCATTCTCAAGTACTTTTCAGGAGCTAGTTAATCCCGACAGCAGTAGATCTTTAAAGGTTGAATCATGCTTAAAAAAAAGTTAAATCATCAGTTGAATGATAGTAGTCAGAAGAGTTGGCGGAAAGTTGGAGAAAGGAACAATTGATGATGACTTTCAACACACAGTTATTCTTCCCTACATTACAGAACTGATTATTAGATCTCATCATGTTCAAGTGTCAGGTATCTGTCTTGTCAACTCTAAGAATTAAATTTTGATTTGTTAAGGGAAGATCTGCAGTCAAGAAAGTTGTCAAAAGATGTATTACTTGTCTGAAAAGATCTAAACATGTTGGGGAACAGTTTAAGGCCAACTTGCCACAAAAACACTTAACACCCGATAAACCACCATTTAATTTTGTTGGTACTGCTTATATAGGACCTCTATCAGTAAAACAAAAGAGGAGTACAGTGAAGAGGTATGGGTGTCCGTTTTCTTTTTCACAACCAGAGCAGTACATACAGAATAAACTCATTCTTTTGATACAGATTCTGTAAATAACTGTATTTGACGTTTTATCAGTCTTTGTGGCTTTCCAGAAGAGATCCGTAGTGACAATAGGACCAACTTTACTAAAGCTGATAAAGAGCAAGTCACATGGGTGGTGTATAGGGCCATATTGTACGTTAAGTTAAACAAGTCTGTGATGTAAAAGTTGTGTTGATTTTGAATAGTAGACCTCAAACACATGTCAGCGACGATGTGTCTGACGAAACACATAATCTTTTACACTTGATACCGTGTTCAAGTCTTCTACCAGGAATCTTTAATAAAAAATGATATGTACCTGAAAAGGAAATGGTGTCAAGCTCAGTATCTGTCACAAGTATTTCGGTGCAGATGGATCAAGGAATACATTCCAACTTTATTACTGAGAAGCAAATGGAACATCAAGCGGAGAATTGTAGAAAGTAAATGTCATTGTTCTTCATGCTGATGACAATTTTCCATGAGGACCATGGCCACTTGCTTGTGTTGTCGAAGCTATCAAATCCGATGATGGACTTGTAGAACAATCAAGCTTAAAACTTCTTCTACAGTGGCAACTAATGCGAAACGTTTTCGCAAATCTGAATTAAAAGATTCAAGTATAACCCGACCTATAACAAAAAATATACTTGTTTGGTGTAAATAAAAAAGTAAGGTTTATCTTGCTTTGGGCAAATCTTTACAGTCAAGCAAATTTGCATTTCATAAGCTTGTTTGTTGTTACTTAAGTTTTAAACCTTTTATGGTAGCCCATTTCTTAATTACATAAAAATCTGCTTGTATGATTTTTATGTAGGGGCTGGTGTGGCTACCTTTGAAGTTGAAATGCAGGTGTTCCTCTTCATACTAATCTAACTTTTGTTCAATTAAAATACTAAAAATATTTACACCCATCGTTTCAATGTATCTACTTCCGGTTGGCGGGTTTCAGGGCAGAATGTTATCCATTTTGTAATGAAAATGATGCTGCAAAATTACTGTGTTGCTATTTTCATTACTTGTATATTTTTAAAGAATGGAAATCACCAATATAAATAAATTTTTTCCTAGGAATTAAATAAATAGATAAGTCAATAACCATGCTTTTACTTTCACTTTGGTTTTTACTCGACAGTTAATTATAGTTGACCAATCGTATTGACTGATATATATTTACTGCCAAATCAACCGGAAGTAGATACATTGAAACGATGGGTGTAAATATTTTTAGTGTTTTTATTGAACAAAAGATAGAGGGAGATATAAAATAGGTCTTGTGTGAAGGGAAAATATTCAATGACACGATTCATATAAGGTTGGGATTATGTTTCATTACGGTAAATGGTAGAAAATCGTCTGAAGCGGAGATGGTCGTGACAGGCGTAAGTCATCTTCTCACATATATACTATTACAGAGACGGTCGACTATTGATAGAAACAGATGCCTGTGTTTCTGCTCAATTCTTAGAGGTTAAATTTAAAGCTTGTTTGAAAGCTAATCTTTGCATTTTCTGCTCGTTTTAGAGCAGATGTGTTCTATTTAGAGCTCCCTTGTTTCTTTGAGAGTGATGAAGGAGTAGGAACTGTTTTCTTAACTGACGTCCGAGGGCCGACAACCGGCCAAAAAATGATTTTGTGAAGGACTGCTGGTGGATTTCTTTTATCATTTTGGACCGTTTGATCCATGATTTTATGTGTTCGATTCGAAAGCTGTTAGTGACGCTGTGTTATCGAATTCCTGAAATGTCAATGAAGAAATTTTATAATGATGATTGATGACTCCTTTTTAGCAACAAACTGTGAAGCAACATAATTTGTGTCTATGTTCCTATTGGCAACGGAAATTCGGGAACACGGAATGATAGATTTAGACTCCTATATAAAATCATTGAAATTAAAATTGAATTTTTTCTTCTTAGGTGACAGTTTATATCATTATTTTATTAAATAATGTGTGTTTGTTTAAATCAACAATATCTTGCACAAATTAGATTTTTAATATAATTTGACACAGATAGGTGACCGCCCTTGATATACTGAAAATGTATCAGGAAAGTGGGAGTACCTTGCTAGGCAACCACTTCATAAATCAAGGGCAATAACTCAAAAAACGTTCATCAAAAGATCGTTACATTCCAGCTTGTCTAAGATCTCATCATTATAATTAATCATCATTAAATTGCATTTAAATCGGATGAAAATTGTAATCTGTCGTGTTCACAAACAACATTTGACGCGTTTAATAAAGGGCATTAACTCAAAAACGTTCACTGAAAGGTCGTCACATTCGAACATTATCATTATAATTGACCACACCAAATTTAATTTAAATCGGATGAAAATTGTAATCTATTTTGTGTTCACAAACAAATTATGAGTTTTTCATAAGGGCAATAACTCAAATTTAGCTTGCCAGGCAAGGTAACATACGCCCACTATCAGCTGTCAGAAATGATAACTATGTTTGTAGTGGTTTAATATGTGAAACAAATCATCCAATTGTTACTAATTTCAAGCTTTACTGAGATTTCATACCACGTTTCAGCAAGATAGTATAAAAAATGTAGTCTCTATCAGGCCTACAAGTCAAATTAAGACGCATTGAATTAATTCAAGGGCAATAACTCCAAAACCGTTCACCCGATTGTTACCAATTTCAACTTGCCTGAGATATATATCCATGCATACATCAAGAAGGGATCAAAATTGTAGCGTTCATTGGACATGCAAGGCAATTTTTACTAAGTAAAGGGCAATAACTCTGAAAGCGTTTATCCAATTATTACCAATTTCGAACTTGACTGAGGTATTATCAATATATACGTGCATACTAAGTTTCAAGGAGATTGGATAAAAATTGCAGCCTTCATCGTGCATACAAACCAAGTTTAACGCGTTTTAACTCAGTCAAGGGTAATAACTCTGAAACCGTTCATCCGATTATTATCAATTTCAAACTGACCGAGATCTCATCAATATATACATGCACACTAAGTTTCATCAATATCGAATAAAAATTGTAGCCAATATCGTTCATACAAGCCAAATTTAACGCGTTTTTACTAAATCAAGGGCAATGACTCTAAAACCGTTCATCCGCTAATTACCAATTTCGAATCTGACCGAGATCTCATCAATATATACATGCATACCAAGTTTCATCCAGATCAGATAAAAACTGTAGCCTCTATCCCGCATACAACAAATGTGGACTGTATTACTGTATAATATTACCAGGTTTCGTCAAAATCTGTCAAGAATTGGGTCTTCTAGAGTGTTTACAGTGTAAAACTAGAATAAGGGCAATAACTCAAGCTAAATATTTTTGCGATTTTTCTGATTTTCAATAGAGTTCTTCCTTGGGTGATAACTAACACTCACATCAAGTTTCGTCAAAACCCACCAAGAATTGTGCCTTCTAGAGTGTTTATGGGCTAAAAATTGTGTTTTCAAGAAAAAGGGCAATAATTCATACTCAATATTTTACGTTTTTTCTGATTTCAATAGAGTTCATTCTTGGGTGATCACAAACACTCACAACAAGTTTCGTCAAAATCTGTCAATAATTGCACTTCTAGAGCATATACGATCTAAAATTTGAACAAGGGCAATAACTCTTCATAACTAATATTTTTGGATTGGGTTCATTCTTGGGTGATTACAAACAATCATACAAAGTTTCGACAAAATCAGTCAAGAATTGTGCCCTCTAAGAGGAAATTGTGGAAGGATGGACAGACATAAGTGACGACAATATACGCTCCATATTTCATGTGGGCGTATAAAAATCAATAGCATAACCAAATGTGGAAATCGATAAATTGCCATGCAATGAGAGACAATTCTATACCTTTTCAAGCTTCAAATTTACATATCATTGCCCTATGGAAATTTATTTTGGCAAAGGGAGACAATATAAAACATTTGGAGACTATGGGAAGAAGAGAAGGACTCAGCATTAATAATTGGCAGTAAATATAATTATCAATAAATTCAAACTGCACTGAAGACTAGACCTTGTCGGGCAAGTTATCTTTTTATCAATTTAGATTTTATCTATTTCTTCTTCACAAAATCTAAATTTGTACATTATAACATTCAAATGCGATCTAAACTTGATCTAAACTTATTCATACAATATAGTATAAGGCCATTCTATTCATGAGAATAAATTCTTCTTACCTCCTTGCAAAATCTCTTGGTTTCTCTGCTCTGTATACAGCTAATGAAAGAAAAGAGTTTAAAACAGTAATAATATTCATAGTATATGAAATGTTTAAAGCAGAACATAATTTAAACGTAACACCTTCTTCAAATTCCTAATACTAAAGTATCTATCAAATATCATGGTATATGACATAACTTTGGTCAGCAGTAGTGCTGGGTATCAACGATCATCTAACAACACGATAGGTATCAGGATAGGCCTACAAACTAGTATTTCAACATTTAGTTTCAGTGTAGATTTATGTCCTTGAAGCACAAGTGGTTCTGATTGTCTATGTGTTAAAAACAGGGATTGTTAAATTCCTATTTAACAAAATAGGAGGCATGACTATTGCACAAACTAAGTTATTGAATTCACTGCTCACATGTAGTTTATCATCAACTCCAGGTAATGTCTATTTTTCTACAAGCCAAAATATAATAAACAACATATATCATGCTTATATTTTTCAATTTTTTTATACCAAATTTCTTTTTCGTCAAATTCGATATGAGGCATTTGCCTCATTTACCTTGATGTAGTTAAGGAAATTGATTTAAAAATTAAACGAGACTTACCTGTAAGTTGAAGTTTGATTATAATTCTATATCTAACAAAATAACATAAGATGCGCACGCAGCCTTATACTTCATTTTTTAAAGGTGAATGATGGCAAACAATCCTAAACCCAAGAGTAAAGGGAGGGCAAAGACTTGAGATTCTATCACCTAGGTGAGCATATTATTTCTAAAATAGTCATCTGACAGATATAGAATTATAATCAATCGTCAACTTACAGGCAAGTCCTGTTTAATTTTTAAATTCTATATCCGTCAAATGACGTTAAAAGTTGCTATCAGGAACGCAAACTCTTGTTAAAGAGAATTTTTATGGTACTCCTTGTAATGTCCTCAAGTTAAAAGCCTTTAATTCCGTTAATCTTTATTACAAACTCCAGTCCACAATCCAAGGTAAGTACAAGGAGAAGGAGTGGTGAAGGAGGTAAAAAACTACAATACAAAAAATACACAATGATAAGCCTCTCATTCTAGATTGATCCATATAATAGTACATGAAGAAAATACTGATACCCTGATATAACAAACCATTAATCCTTCAATAATTATGAATATAAAGCTTACATAACAAATAAAAATGTTTCCTGGCATTCTTAAGAACATAAATAATATTAACTTACTCCGTGGCGGAACAATGTAAACAGATGATTTTCAAGTTTTTCCTAGTTTTCTAAAGAGACATGGTAAACCATGCCGTAGCCATTTTCCTATCCCATTATAATATCCCATAATACTCAATTAATGCAATCAATTAAGGGGAGGTAAGTATATAAAAGAACTCTACCACAAATAACTTATATGTAACAATACATTCCCCGCCTGGATTTTTACTGAAATCCACTCTACCAATTAAAATGCTAAAAAACAAAATTGAAACGACCTTAAAAAGAAAATTCCTAACACAAAATGGTTTCCGTTAAAAAATCCTCAATGTCCTATATGAAATAAGTTACTCTGAACAAAGGAGCAACACAATCTGAGTGATAGGCCGCACACACAATTTCCTAGACCTAGCTAAACGAATTGTAACTTTACGTATGTGTTTGTCCTCACTTTGGAAAATCTTTTCCACGATTCCTAGTGGCCACTGGTTACGGTGGGCCTCATTGTCCTTCACAAGAACGATATCACCTATTTTTTTTAATACTGTCCTGTGCTACCTGCCATTTTTGGCGTACCTGTAGATTCTGGAGATAATCATTTTTCCATCTTTTCCAAAAGTTCTCGGCTAATGTCTGTTTCACTGGTCCTCTGATAGAGGTGAATCTTATCAAAGAGTTAATAAATGATGACGCAGACATCTCTTCTATAACTTCAAGATGAATTCCTCGGGTCACCATACAACAGAATATCACAGCCCATCTTTTGGAATGAGCTAAACCTCCTCTAGTGCGCCTAGCTACCACATTCCAGGGTCCAAAAACATCTGGACATGGTGTTATTCTATCCACAGGAAAGTCCGACATAATTTGTGTCTGAAGTTTTCCTCTAAGCCTCTTGCATCGGACGCAATTATGTATAATAGAGGAAACAAGGCGTTTTCCACCAACAATCCAGTATCCTGATGATCTTATTAGTCCTTCTGTGAGTTGTCTCCCTTGATGTTCAACTCTCTCATGGAAATGTCTCACAAGTAATGTTCCTATGTGGTTTTTAGAAGGAATAATAACAGGATTCTTTTCATAGAAGTTTTCTTACAGTAGGTTCAACCTGCCACCAACCCTTATAACTCCATTATTGTCTAAATAAGGGGATAATTTCAGCAAAGCAGAGTCCTTATTCACTGGTTTATTGTTCAATAAACAATCCTATTCTTTTGAGTAATGTTCAGATTGCACTAAACTAATCACAAAATTTTCAGAGTCCCTTAAAAGTTCGAGTTTAGTATGTTCACGTTTCGTAAATTTAGCTATAAATTGTTTCAACCTGGCTATGGCTGATAATACACTCGTCCATTTTGAAAATTTTTCAAATCTGTGGAAGTTTAGAGTAGGTAAGGTACTGGTTTTGAAAACTGGTATAACCTTCGGTCGAATTTCTTTATCTTCATTTTCATCCACTAGAGTAAATTCTCGAAGGTTGTCGGTTTCCTTTTGATTTCAGAAAGAAACTGGTCCACTGAGCCATTGCTTATTTGAAAGTTCTGAAGCATTCATTTTTCTGGTTGCCATATCCGCCGGGTTTTGTTCTGTAGGAACATAAGACCACTGTTCCTTTAATGACCTATGAAGAATTTTGTCCACACGGTTTGAAACATAAACATAAAATTTCCGTGTCCTATTAAAGATATAACCGAGTACGGCACGACTGTCAGTGTAAAAGTGCGTACTGTCTAAAGTGATGTCTAAATTGTCTGTAACAAAAGCTGCCAATTCTGTAGCCAAGACAGCTCCACACAATTCCAGTCTTGGAATAGTATGCCCATGATCCGGAGCGACTTTTGATTTTCCAAATATAAAGCTGGTTTCACAATGATTGTTCACGTCATACAGTTTTAGGTAAGCAACTGCCCCTACGGCTTCCTTAGAAGCGTCTGCGCAAACATGCAGTTCCCTACAAACAGAGTTTTTTACTGAGATTTCTGAATAAGGTCTAGGTACCTTTATTTCTTCCAGATCCTTTAAAGAGTATTTCCACTGAAGCCAATTTTCTAACATTTGCTGAGGCAATGGATCATCCCAGTCCAAATGTTTATCATCCACTAATTGTCTAAGTAAAAGTTTACCCCCTAAAACCACAGGGGCTACAAAACCTAAGGGGTCGAAGATACCGTTTACCACTGAAAGCACTCCACGCTTTGTAAATGGTTTCTCTTCGTCTGACACTTTAAAAGTGAAACTGTCGGGAGTTAATTTCCAGCAAAGTCCAAGACTTCTCTGCGTTATGTTTTCTTCTAGTTCCATATCTTTTATTACATTGTCCACAATATCTTCTTCGGGGAAACTTCTCAAAAAATTTAAACTATTTGAAGACAGTTTGTGAAGCCTGATGTTTCATTGGTCCCTGAGCCTAATTTGAGTGTCTTTCACCAGCCTTATGGCATTTTCTTCATCTGCTAAAGAAATGAGTCCGTCGTCGACGTAAAAATGTTTTTTCACGAATTCACACACCTTGTCACATAGTTCTGCATTTTCATGATTACAAATTGTTTTGTGAAGTCCAAAATCAGCAACAGCGGGTGATGGCTTGTTGCCAAATACATTCACTTGCATGCGATATTCGACCATAGGTTTGGTGATGTCATTTCCTTCGGACCATAGAAACCTTAAGTAGTTTCTGTCAGAATCGTGAACTTGGAAATTGAAAAAGAACTGCTCCAAATCTCCAATCACGCCTATCCTTTCTTTCCGAAATTTCAAGAGCACAGCAGCTAGGTTGTTTGTTAAATCTGGTCCTTTCAATAACACATCATTTAATGATAGTCCTTGATGTTTAGCTGCTGAGTCGAAAACAACACGAAGCTTATTCTTTTTGCTGTGAGGTACCAGCATTCGTCATCTGGTTTCAGTTTAGGGGCCACTTCTGCATGTCCATTTTGTAAAATTTTGGCCACAAATTCGAAAAAGTCTTTCTGTTTGATAGGGTTTTTCTTCAAACATGTATCCAAATTATCGAACCGTCTTTTGGCTTGCTCATAGTTGTTAGGTAAACGAGGTTCGTCCTTGGAGAATGGTAAGGGGGCACTCCAGTTTTCCGATTCAGTTTTGATGAAGTTTTTATCCATTATTTCCAGAAATTCTTTTTCTACCCGTGATAGTCCAGGAAGATCATCGTTTTGGTTTCTCTCAAAAATGTCTGGTCCTATGTCCACAAGTCTTTCAGAATTGAAGTTGGTCTTTAAATGAAAGTTGTAAGGGCAAACATCCAAATATGTTGGACGTCCATTGTTAAGAATGTTTGTTTTGTTGACGTTTATCTTTTCCATTTTGTGAACAAATCCTAAGCAAGATTCACCAACATTTACCCATCCTAATTTAAGTCTCTGGGCATAAGGCTCATGGTCCTGGCCAATTCTTTGTTCTAAAACGTGATGGGCAGATAATAAGTCTCTTCCTATTAGTAGTAAAATCTTGGCTTTTTCATTGTAGGGTGGTATTTTATCACTTATTTCAGTTAAGTGTTTGTATTGATTGGCTACTTCTGGAGTAGGTATTTCCTGCCTTACATTAGGAATCTGAAGACACTCTATTAGGCGTGGAAGATTAACTTTATATTCTTCATCAAGTGATTGAATCTGGTAGCCGACACCTTTTCTTCCAATTATAGTTTGATCACCTGAACATGTAGATATAACATATTTTTGTTCTGGGGAGTTGTCATCAAAATGGTCTAAAAGTTCGGGATGGACTAAAGATCCATTGCTCTGGTGATCGATTATTGCATAGGTTTGAAGTACTTTTTCCAAATTATCTCCCTTTGTTACATTCACCAATACAG